ATATAGGGGCCTCACGAAATACCTATACTATTTTTTTTTTGGGGGGGGGGCTCCTTCTTACAACTGTAGCATAATATACCCCAAAACCCTATTCTAATGAATCAGGCCCCATAGATTAGAACCCTCTATTTCCTCCAAAACAGCAGACGAGGCTCCCGACCTTGCCGAGCAAGGAGGCGTCTACGTCTATGGACCGGAGCATCTCGGAGCTAGCCTTTTTGGGGATGTCCATCTAGACTTTTAGGGTTTAGGGTCTAGGGATTTAGGGTTTAGGGTTTAGGGTTTATATAGGGTTTAGGGATTTAGGGTTTAGGGTTTAGGGTTTAGGGAAGGTATAGTAAGGGTTCTCTTCAAAGTTTAAGGTTTGGGATTTTAATGTTCCTGTTTTCAGGATTTGGTTCAAGGGCTGCTTTTGGGGGTTCTTTTTTGGAATTTCTTTGAGGGTTCATTCTGAACGGTTCCGTTTTGCATGCATTCTTTCTGTCACGGGGTTCCTCTCTAAGGATTCCCCTGAAATGTTCTTTTGAAGGTTTTCCTTTTTAGAGTTCCTTAAAAGGCACGAAGCGGTTCTGAGGCACTCGCATGAGTGTCTTAACCTTAAACCCCAAAACCCTAAACCGCGGCTAGTTACTGTAGGGGGGTGGCTGAGGGTTCAGGGTTCGAAAAGGGGGTTTCCGAAAATAGGGGACCCTAATATAGGACCCTAAATAATAGGATCCTTATTATAAGGACCCCCAAAATAAGGTACCCCTAATTTTCGGAAACTCCCAAAAGGGTTTTCCTAAACCCTAAACCCTGCGGTCTCTCCTTCTGGTTTAGGGAGCTCCCCGGTCTCTTTATCGGTGTAGGGTTTAGGGTTTAGGGTTTAGGGTTGGGTGGTGAGAAACTTGCGAGTTTTTTGTCCATAGTATCTCCTCGGACTGCCTCTAACTACCGTGTTCGGCTAGACAATGCTTATGAGAGCCCTTGCAATTCTAGCAAGCCTTACCTGTAGCCCAGAAGACCTACCGTTTTAGGGTTCCTTGTGATGGCCTCTTTATATACTTCCTTACAAAGGTCGGTTTCTGGGGCTACAGGTACCTATAGGCTCCATTGTAGTTCAAATTTGTGGTTTATGCCTCGGATCCTATAAAGTAATCACGAAAAGGAGCGACAATGGAGCCTATGGGTATAGAAAACCGCATATATAGCAACCCGTACTGTACGACGGAAGCCACCCGAAGTCAGGCACGGTGGTTTTGCCCCGGCCTGGAAGCTTGGCGTGGAGTGGGTTTACGGTTTACCCTAAGGGTCCAAGTACACATTATTTAAGGACTTTGGAGCCTTTTGGGGTAGATAAAAGCCATAAATAAGGACTACTTGGACTCTTAGGGTTAGGGTTTAGGGTTTAGGGTTTTAGGGTTTAGGGTTTTAGGGTTTAGGGTTTAGGGGATGCTTCGGTATTCGGGGTTTTGGGGTGAGCTTCCGTTTCAGGGAAGTTGAGGGTTTGGGATTCCGGTTCAGGGAAGTTCAGGGTTTGGGTTTAGGGTTTAGGCTTTTGGCCCCAATTCAGGGTCCAAGTATTGGAACCGTCGGCGCGGCCAGTCAAGACCCCCTTGACTTCCTAGTCTGGTGTTGTCTTGAAGCCCGAGTACACAGATTGTTCGTATTATAGATCACACCCCTCAGAAACCCTAAACCCTAACCCCTAAACCCTAGCCCCTAAACCCAAACCCCTAAACCATAACCCCCAAAACCCTCAAACCCTAAACCCTATACCCTGAACCCTAAATACTAAACCCTAAAACCCTAAACCCTAAACACTAAACCCTAAACCCCTAAACCCTGAAACCTATACCCTGAACCCTAAACCCTAGACCCTACAGCAACCCAGGGTACGAGAGGCAGAGGTGTATAAGACCATCTCTTTTCGGCTCCCCCAGTCTCTAGCCAGGACCCTTAGGGTTCAGGGTTTAGGTTTAGGGTTTAGGGTTTAGGTTTAGGGTTTAGAGGTTAGGGTTTAAGGTTTAGGGTTTATAGGGGTTTAGGGGTTTGGGGTTTAGGGTTTAGGTTTAGGAAGTTTAGGGTTTAGAGGTTTGGGTTTAAGGTTTAGGGTTTAGGGTTTAGGGTTGAGGGTTTAGGTGGCCAGGATCCAGTAATAAGGACACGAGGTCTCAACGTAGAAGCCCGGACAGTTGCCAACAAATGACTGCTAATACTTAGGTTCCTGTTGATAGTTTTCCTGCCACAATGTACCGCGCATGCCTATTCTAGCTTTTCAGCCCTAAGCCCTAAATCATAAATCTTAAACTCTACCCATAGGCCCCATAGTAGTTCCTTTTTGGGGTTCATATTTAGAATCCTATAAGGTAATCCCAAAACGGAACTACTATGGGGCCTATGGGTAAGCCCTATTCTAGTTATTCAGGCCCCTGTATCACCAGAGAAGCGGAAGGCTCGGCAAAAGAAGTGCGCATCGAGGACTGCCGACTCTCCTGCCTTAGGTTTCTTCTGGGCTCTTGTTGAGGAAGAAATGTGCTTAAGAACATAATACTACTGATATTCTGGGTTTGAAATATTTCAGTAAGAGTTTCAGATGTTAAGACGTTTAAGTTAGAATTAGGCCACCAGACAGGCATACGCAGCCAGGGCCATTGATAATGGGCTTTCCTTCTTATCCCTCAGTGTCCATGTACCCATATACCCCTTAACGCCCTTATCCCTAAGCCGTAATTAAACCGCTGTTCGAAAACCCTCACAGAACCGCATAGATCGGTGTTACAACCCTAAATCCTGAACGCTTCGGGTTGAGGGTTTAAGGTTTTGGGTCCAAGGTTTAGGGTTTAGGGTTTCCCAAAGTCTTAAATTTCTAAGGAGATGGCTGGTACGCGCCCCCGGCGATGAGCTCTTCTGCAGGCTTTCCCTGGGGCGAGCTCACCGCCGAAGGTGCCGTCTGAAGGTGTCGAGTACTGCAGGGGTCTGAACAACCAGTGCCAGTCTCTAAAGTACCTGAATCCCTAAACCTTATCGAACCTACGCCTCATAACCCTAATTCCTAAAAGTGCACAGCCCTAAAGCCTAAGCCCTGAAGACTTAATGCCCTAAAGCCTTACATCCCTAAAGCCTTCCGCCCTGACGCCTACAGCGCGACCCTATCAGTTTTTGCGGTTTTTGTTATGTCATGCAGCCGGGGTCCGGACTTACTAGGTCGAACATGTAGAGGTAATTACCATTATTACTGGGTTTGGGGTTTAGGGTTTAGGGTTTAGGTTCTCCTGTTACTTATGCTGTGATTGTTAGATATAAATATAAATGGTAGCAATATGACTGGTAATAGTAAGATTGATCGCGTGAGTAAAAATAGCATTAACATAGTGTAATAATAACAACAGGAATAATAATAACAAGCAGACGAGGCATAAGAAGAAGAGTAGTAATAACACTAGCAAGGACATGCATGAACCTGCAAGCAGTATAGTTAGTTTCAAGCCGGGATCACTTTGGCCGGGCCTCCTGAATACATAGTACGAGGGTGCTTGAGTTGTGCAGTGGAATTCTCACATGAAGGGCTGTTTCAGCTAGGGTCCTTGTTGAGGAGCTCCTTGTTATGCGAGTGGTGCAGCCAGCTCCTACAGTGACCACAAGTTCGAGAACTGCCCGTCTAACCCGAAGGGCCCACGAGGGCTCTGGAGAAGCCTGAGCTGTTGGGCCTGGGGCTCCAGGGTTCAATGATAATTTGCAGGGTTTGCCGGAATAAGGGATTCGGATGCAGACTCTTGGGTTTGTGTTCCGAGGACATCTCATACTACCGTTTCAATGTGCTGGCAGAAGCGCTTCAAGAAACATGCGACCGGAAAACTCATCTAGGATCCTTGAGATAAGAGCACCAAGGGACCTTGCCTCACAAGAAGCCGTCATGTAGGGCAAGGAAGAATTAGTACTAATGGCCCTGCGTAGTACTTCTTTAGTGAATATACAGTACCGACGATTGAGTCCCTTGTAAGCCAACAAGCAAAGTACGCACAAAGCAGCCATGCTCCCTAAGCCGTGTGGCATGATCCTCGTAATCGTCATCCTTTGGATTCAAGGTTTGGGGTCAGGGCGTTCAGGGTTTAAGGTTTAGGGTTGTGGTGTCAAAAAACATGCTTGTGACCTGGTCCAAGCAGCTTTTCTTTGTGGGGTCGTGCTTGGGTTTCTGGGTTGGGTGTTCGGCGCTCAGTGTTTCCTTAGTTCGGGGTTTTCATTGGCATGCTAGGCCCTCGACCACCGAAACCTAAATCCCCTAACCCCTCAAGCGCTGAACCCTAAACCACTGCACTTTAAATCCTGAAGCCCTAAACCCTAAACTCCCCAAGCCACATAGAATCCTATAGATCCTTTGCAGCAGCCCCTAAGGGAACCCATTGGGCACCCTCAAGTCTTGAAGACTGGCAGAGGTGTGCAGCAAATGTATCTGCTGGGTCAGAGCCTCTGCAAAGAGGCCTCGGGGGTTCGACAAGGGATCTCAGGATCTATGAGGGATCTGTAGAACCTAAACCCCAAACCCTAAACCCTAAACCTATAGGGCTTTGGAGCGCAAGCAACAGAAAAGGCCCTTTACAAAAACAGAAAAACCTACAAGGGATCTCGTGGGAGTCTATAATGGGTTTGCAGAGAATCTACAACTTGATCCTTTGACGGTAGCGTTCAGGGTTTAGGGTTTTATAAGGGCTCTTCAACGCATCTACAAGGGCTCCTTAAGGGGTGCTATAAGGGATCCTCAGGAGATCTATACACTGGACCTTTTCGGATTCTACAAGGGATTTTCAAAGGAAATACGAGATCCTTCAGGATTCGATAAGGGATCTTCAGACAATCTATACGGGTTCTGTAGAGATTCTGTCAGGCTTACAGGCTTCGAGGGGTTTAGGGTTTAGGGTTTAGGGTGGCATCACGGATATGTTGCTGTCTGTGATCATGCGGTTTGAAACACAGGGAGAGGCAGAGAGAGAGAGAGAGATCTTACGTGTCTGATACGCACGCATATCCGTTGTGAGGGTACCGCCCCTGATGAGCTGGTATTCTTGCTGTAGATATGGTGCATCTTGAAGGGGTCTATGGTGCCTGGCACATGGTAGAGGGCTGATGGCTTGTAGAGTCCAGGTAAGGGTCTTGCAGCAGAGGGGAAAGAACTAGGACGAATCAATGGTAACATATAGAAGCTTAAAATACATATTCGCTAAACAAAACCATACGTACATTCCGTGGGGTTCTTTATTATGGGGTATACAGTAGTGTGCCCCAAGACTCTATTCAACTCTTCAAATCATTCAAGCGACTAGATCAAGCCCTACGAACACCCTGAAAAAACCATTCTAGACCCCATGTCGAAAAACGGTTTATGGAGGCCCTTTGCCAACAATTCAGGCCCAGATCGATCCGGTCTTAGGGATTTAGGGGTTCAGGGCTTTCGGGTTTAGGGTTTTAGGGTTTTGGGGCTTGGGAAGATCACAGAGATTCCCGAAGGCCGCGCCCAGCACCTGGCAACTGCGCTCTGCCGGCCTTGGGCGATGTGTTTCCGCGGCGCAGGCGCGGTTCCTTAATGAGTACTAATTAAGGATTCTATAATAATGGGGCCTTAACTATTTAGGACAGTAATATCCTCAGGGTTGTTCATTGTGAGTATGCTATGTCCAACGAAGTCTCAGATGCTCTTGAAAGTGGCCCCCGTAGCCCATAGCTTGTAAGATTGTACGTTTTCTGCACCTACTCAAGACTGAAACAGTGCTTGCTGAAGACATTATGGGGCACGTTGCTGTTCTGTGCCCGGTATTTGATCTGTGTTCTCCGAAATTGGCCCGAAACCGTTAATTTCTGACAGCATAGGACTTGGCTTTCCCAGGGCTGTCCCTGTCCAGGCTCTCCCCAAGCTCTCCCGAAGCCTCCCGGTCCCTCGCCTCTCCCCAACTTGAGGGTTTAGGGTTTAGGGTTAAGGGTTTAGGGTTTGGGGACGCAAACCCTGAAGCCCCAACGCCTAACAACCTAAAGAAAGTTCAGCACTGCACTACCTACAGATCCATTGCAGCATGCCCTGGCGCGGTGGTGCACGAAGCGTCACTAGCAAGCTGTTGCAAGCCCCCCAAATCGGCTGGCACCTGAATCCGGAATGAGGGCTTCTAAACACAAATTCAGTCGGCGGGCCTGCTTCCATTGAAATCCTGAACCCTTCAACCCTAAACCCCTAAACCTTTGCAACACTGAACCCGAAACCCTAAAAACCCTAAAAACCTCTATACCCTACAACCCTAAACCCCTAAACCCTTGCAACCCTAAACCCGAAACCCTAAACCCTAAACCCTGAACCTTAAACCCTAAAAACCCTAAGCCTCAAAACCCTAAACCCTATACCCTACAGCCCTAAAAGCCCTAAAAGCCCTAAACACCGAAAAAACCCAAAAAAACGAAAAGCCTCAAAACCCGAAACCCTATACCTTAAACCCTAAACCCTAAGCCTCAAAACCCTAAACCCTATACCCTGAACCCGAAACCCTAAAAGCCTCGATCAGGCCCTCGCCTGGGGAGGCCTAGAGACGATTCTTGGCCTTTAGGGTTTAGGGTTTAGGGTTTAGGGTTTAGGGTTTAGGCTTTAGGCTTTTGGAGGTTTTGGGGGTTTTGGGGGGCTTAGGGTTTGGGTTTATAGGGTTTAAGGGTTTTTGGCTTATAGGTTTTGGGGGGTTTGGGGTTGAGGGTTTGGGGTTTCCTGCAAGCCAAGTTAGTTTTTAAGTTTTCGTGGTTCTGGAGTTTCTTAGTTCACGTGTAGGGTTTAGGGTGTGCGATGATTGTCTGTGCCCATGTTTTTGATACGGCTGCGGGTGTTTGTATGACTTCATGAGGGTTTTAGAGCTTTGCTGATTTGGAAGACGCTCAGCCCCCTAAACCCTAACATTTCCCAGAGGGTCCATATATACTACCATTATGGAATTAGGCCTTAAAAGACCATCCTTATTATGGTTTTGGGGACCTAATTCCATAATGGTAGTGTATATGGACCCTCTTGGTTTTGGAGGCCCAGTGAAGGGCAACCTTAGAGTATCCAAAGTATCGAGCTGAGACCCCTGAAATGCTCACTAGGACCCGGAGTAGGCCCTTATTTCCTTTTTTAGGGTTGGGGCTCCCTTATAATCCCCTTAAAACCAAAAAGGGCACCCTTTTCATTCCTAGGTTACTCCTGGGTCTAGCTCATGAACCCTGCTGAAACATCCCTATAAGCTTTAAATCCTCAACGCTTAGGGAAGCTAAACCCTAAACCCCTAAACCCTAAAAACTTTAAATCCTCAACGCTTAGGGAAGCTAAACCCTAAACCCCTAAACCCTAAATCCTCAACGGGCTTGCCCGAGAACCTCAACCCTATCGAGCAGGGTTGACGGTCAGGTGCCAAGCCCGCTCGAAACCCTGAACCTGATATAGGGGCCTTGATAATTAGAATAGGGTTTTAGGGCCCAATATACTAGAATTACTGTAAGGAACCCCCCAAAAAACCAAAATAGTCTGGGTAATTGTGTAGACCCATTAATTAAGCCCAGAAGCACTGGAGGCAGGGCGACCGCTATGCCAAGCCGGTCGAGACTTGCTTCTGTTCAGTGTGAGTTGGGATTTCAGGGTCTAGGGTTCGGGAACGAGGACGCCGAGACACACAATGGAAGAAAACAGCAACCATAATCCCTTGTTAACTGGTAGCCTCTATACATTGTCATGGTAACCACGCGCAGTATGTGACGCGTGCTTGGTGGCAGGCAATTCAGCTTCGGGGTGCCAACAGTGTGGGAAATTGACGTACTAGCCTGCAAAAGACGTTTTACCTTCTTGCAAGAAGATGAAGGGCTGAATCCCTGTAACGGGTCAGATGTCCAAGATAAAACTTAACCCTGGCTTTGGCGAGATACGAATTTTGTTGCGGTGGCCTGTCTGCATATTTTGCCGAATCGAATGAGATAACGGTATTCGTAAACCCGAAAATCTGAACCCCCAAACACAAATGTATTACGACTATGTGTAGTATTGTTGATGTAGTAAATCCTACATTACCTTAAGGACCCTCAACTGTGGGAATTACGCTATATTCCTCATTATGGGCAATGCAGGATTTGTATCATCAACCGTACTACCACTAACGTTTGTAAGCTTGCTACTATAGACCGTGTTCATACTGTCCTTCTGAACGTTATTATCCCGCCGCCATCCTCGTTCCCTTTCTGGGTCAACCGCCGCAAAGTATGAGGTGTTCTGTATTAGGACCCTAAACTCTAAACCCTTTACTATACCCCACAGAATCTGATAGAGAGTTTGAGACCCTTTCGGGCGTAGGAGTTGAGGTTGTGTGTTTTGTTTTCATTACTGTGGCATCGGGCGTTGGTTTTTCTAGGGTGCGGGGATGTATTCCTGGTCCTTGAGTACGAGGTCTTAGCGCGTTACGAAAAGGACAACCACCCGCTACTTGGGCCAATGAGAGCCCGATACCTTCGGATTAAGGAGTATACCTCAAGCTATAGAAGGCTTATCAGTGTCGGGTACTTGGAGGTTCATGGGTAGTTATAAGTAGGGTTATAAGTCCCCTAATATGGGCTATAAATATAGTTACCCTAATAATAACCCCACTTCTAACTACCCATGAACCTCCAAGTAAGGCGCACACCTTCCTGCGGGGGTGCTGGGTTGTTCGGGGACCCTTACAGCAGACCCTGCTTGACATTTGAGTCGGCCGAGGAAGTGCTCGTATCTGGCGGCGAGGCGTGGTGAGTGAGCAGTCACTCCCCAAGTCCAAGTGTTTCCACCCTAAGCCCTAAACCCTACACCCTAAACCCTAAACCCTAAACCCTACCGGGCTTTAAACTCGAAGCCCTACACGCTGCAGGTGTGTGGGTTTTTTGACCATTTCGGTCGTCTCAGCCTTGGAGGATCACATGAACCTTCATTCTAGCGTTCTATTAGGATCTGTTCGGACTTTAGGGTTAAGAGTTTAAGGGTTTAGGGCGTTGGGTTTGTATAGGGGTTCAGGGTCCTACTAGCCACATATCGTCGTAATAGCTCGTGTACAGTAGTACTACCACCTTAAGCCAAAGCACTAGTCGAGATATCTCGAGTTGTTTTAGAGTTCCGGTTTGTTAGGCCGACCCACCCGTGCCTGAGTATCCATTACAAAGATTCTTCTTCCAACACTTGCTTACTGCTGCAATTCGGCTACTTTGTTTCCACATATCTTGCCACTTTGTTAACCAACAATGCCGATCGAAGACACGGCCACTATACCGTCAGATCTTGGTACTTTTGCTGTATGGGTGTCCGAGCAAAACCTGCACCAGAAAAGTACTCCTGCCGGAATAAGTACCAATGGTAGTTCGCTAAATTAGGATCCCTTTAGGGTGCTTTCTATAAGGGTGCCGTACTCGTTGGGGGATCCCAAAAGGGACCCTAGTTTCGAGAACTACCCATCTTTTTCCCTTAGCATCAACACAGCCCAAAATCTTTTCATAATGGGGTCTTTAGGCCCAAAACCGTAAAATATGAGTACTTTGAGGAAAAGGTTTTAGTGGGAGACCTTGAACCTTACCATGTGGGTACATGGGAAACCACTGGGCTACACTCGAACCAAAAACCCTCAGCCCTAAACCCTTAAATCCCAAACCCTACACCCTAACACCCTAAGACCCTAAACCCTAAACCCGAAAACCCTAAACCCTAGAACCCTAAAGCCCTCAACCCTAAACCCTAAAACCCTAAACCCTAAAACCCTAAAGCCCTAAAGCCCTAAATCCTAAACCCTAAACCCTCAAACCCTAAAGCCCTATAAATCCTGAGCCCGAAGGCCCAAGTCCCAAACCCTATAAGCCCTATGGCCCGGGTCTCTCCAAGGCAAAAGAACTCAGGGGTTTAGGGTTTAGGGTTTAGGGTTTAGGGTTTAGGGAAATGGGTAGTTCTCTAAGTTAGGGTCCCCCTTTTAGGGTCTGTTTTATAAGGGTGCCGTACTATAATGGGGAACTGCCCATAGGCCCCATGGTAGTTCCTTCTTGTGGCTTAAATTCAGGATCCTATTAGGCAATCCCAAAAGTAACTACTATAGGGCCTATGGGTAAAAAGGGGCCCTAATTTAGAGAACTACCCAACTTCCTAGCCCCTAAATCCTAAACCCTAAACCCTAGACCCTAAACCCTAAACCCTGGACCGTAAACCCTAGACCCTAAACCCTAAACCCTAGACCCTAAACCCTAAACCCTAGACCCTAAACCCTAAACCC